TCACGGACCTCAAGCTAGTGTCGTCATTTGATTATATTTATGTTTCATACCGTTTCTGTTCTAATATCTGTGGAATAATGCTATCAGCTATTTCTTTATCTACTGCATTCAAAAGTCAACAGCTGATCATATGTCTTTGTTTATGTGTCAAATACTGCTTCCATAAGGATTACATTGAAACTTTGAGACCCAGTGGGGCGGATTCCTGAGAGTTATTTTTAACGCTATATAGATGTTGGCACTCACCGATATGGTCTTTATCACCATCCAAAATTTGAAAACGATTGATTCAGCCGTTTAGGAGGAGTTTGCGTATTACGAAATGCATAAAAGTCGACGTATAAGAGCTTCGCTCGCTCCGCTCAATGAAATAACAATATAACAATAAGCTGTTAAATTATTAACACATGTTTCGTATGTTTAGATTATGCATACTGGTGAACCAATTATTGCCATCTATAAAAATTATTGGTTCTTCTTTTCCGAGTTGGGTTATCTTCTACCTGACCGATTTTCATAATTTTGGTCTTAAAATAAAGTTATGCAAGCATATATTTGTCATCAAGCATCATTATTAATTTATCTAATGTATTACTTAACGAAAAAGTATAAATTTGATTTGTTTGATTTTTTACTTTAATCAAAGATGTATTCCAGCAGTTCTAATTACATTACCCTATATGTTTTGGTCTAAAAACCTTTAGTGAAATACCAGCTTTCACTTGAGCTATTGATTATTAAGATTCCGATCTTAATGATCCTACCTAAAGCACACTGCTGAATCACGAATCAACAATAATTATAATCGTTTTAGTACTTATCTGCAATCAATGATACGTAACTCAAATTTTATTTTAAGTTGTTTTATATGTGGTCTTAAAATACTTCAAAGGCTTTCACTTGAGATACTGATAGTTTTAATCAGCTAAGTTAAAGATATACTGTATCGCTCAATCAGAAAACATAAACTTAATTATATCTTGGATATGGAATTTAGTTTTAGATACTCAATTCTAATTACGTTGTTGTATTTGTTTTGACCTAAGAACCTTCAGTGAAATGTCAGCTTCTATTTGAATTATTGATTATTAAGATTGGACGTACCTAAAGCACACTGCTAAATCACAAACCCAAACTTTTAAAAAAATTGAGTTATTTATCATCGAAATTATAGTCAAACAGTCTTGCTTGCAACCTCAACAGCAACTGTCAGACTTTGACGGGTTTCACCTAGTAAATCTTGAAAAAACCAAACTTTCATAATTATTTGCAAATCTACATGAAATAGGCTTTCCAATGACCTATTAATTAATTAAATGGTTCAGTAGAACTGTAGATTTAACTGTACAAAGTTTAACAACAACATACTTAATTCACTATTTCCTCACCACTATAAATTGGGAGGTTGCTTAACGTTTTTGCAAATAACTTTGAAATGGCGAGGAAATCGACCAAAGTGGAAGGTGATATTCTGATAGAGAATAAAATTTCCTACAAATTACTATTATTTCTGGAAAATACTCAATAAAGGGAGGCTAAAGTTGGCTACAATATAAACTTGGAAATATAAACTTGAAAAAAAGGTGTTTTAAACGTAATATTGTTTATTTTTATTGTTTCACCTCAAATATGTAATAAAATCAAAGTTTCATAATTATTTACAAATCTACACCAATTAGGCTTTCCAACGACATTAAGTAACAAAATCGGTCCGGTAGAAGTCTAGATTTAGTTGTACAAAGTTTAACAAAAATATATCTAATTCAGTATTTTCTCACCACTATAAATTTGGAGATCACTTAGCTTATTGCCAATAACTTTTAAATGAAGGGGAAATTGACCATAGTGGATTTTATATTCTGAAAGGGAATGAAATTTACTACAAATAACGACTATGCATTTCTTGAAAATGCTTAATAAAGGTATCCAAAAGCTGGCTACAAATAGAAACTTGAAAACAGAAACTTGAAAAAAAGCAGTTTTTAATAATGTATTTTTGTTATTTTTACTTTTTTACCACTAAGATTAAATAAAATCACACTTTCGTAATTATTTGCAAACCTACATGAGTTGGGCTTTCCAATGACCCATTAATTATCTAAATCGGTCCAGTAGAAGTCTAGATTTAGTTGTACAAAGAAGATTTCATTCCATGCATTTTTTTTTGCAAATTTCCATCAACAACCAAGCTTGAAGCATTTTGTGGGTTCAAAATAAACACAGTGGGGGAAGTCTACCAGTTACAGTGGCTTCTAAATTGTAGAACATCACATTTATTGTGGTTGATTCTGAAAAGGCGACACCAATAATATGACTTAATTCATCTATTGCAATGGGCCTCATCAAGAGAATATCTATTGATGCAGTAAGCAAAATACCCGACGTACAAACGCTAGTTGAAGAGAATAAAGATGTATTTGTAAATCAGGGTTGTTTTCCTGAAGTACTGACACTGAAACTCAAGGAAGGGGCTGTTCCAAGAAGTTCACCTGCCCATAGAATACCTAACAAATTAATGGATTGTCTTAAGCAGAAGCTGGATTCTTTGGTATCAAGAAACATAATTGAGAAATGTGAATCTGGGGAATGGGTACACAACCTTGTTATAGTGGAAAAACATAAAACAGGAGACTTGAGAGTTGAATAAAAGTTTGATTCGAGACTATGTTTCAATCCCAACTCTTGATGAAATTACCACTAAGTTGGCAAAGAAAAAATACTTCTGTGTGTTTGATTTGAAGGATGGGTGCCATCAGGTTCCCTTGGATCCAGAGTCTTCAAAACTGTGTACATTTAACACTCCGTTTGGCACTTATCGTTATTTACAAGCACCATTTGGTCTCTCAGTTCTTCCAGAGTACTTTCATGAAACAACATCAAAGTTTTTCATTGACGTTAAGGGGGTTGTACTTTGACGATATACTGTGTGCAGCAGAAACAAAAGAAGAGTTGTACAAAGTTGTACTTGAAGTTATCAATGTGGCAAGGAAAAACCAAATTCAATTGAATAAGGATAAAATTCAATACTTTGTTGAAAACGTGTGATTTTTAGGACAAGAATTTGGTTGTAATGGTGTTAAACCTGACTGTGAAAGAATCAGAGTATTAATCAGAGCTATTAATTAACTGGAAATACCTAAGAATAAGACAGAACTTCAACGAATATTAGGCACTGTGAATTACCTTAGGCCTTTCGTTCCTAACTTAGCAGAGCTCTGCTCATTCTTTCAAGAATTGTTGAAAAAGAATGTAGTTTTTCAGTGGACCCCCGAACACAGTTGTCATTTGGACAAACTGAAGGAAACTATTACAGCGGCTGCTTTACTTAGTCCCTTTGATTTTGACTCTCCAATAACTATTCAAGCAGATGCAAGTAACTATTTTCTTGGTTGTTCCTTGTCCCAAAATGGGAAGCCTGTTATCTTTGGATCCAGGTCACTTACTGAAAGTGAAAAGAACTTAGGGAGTAAAAATCAGCTGTTGTAAACAGTTGTAAAAATTTCGATTTTGACAATCGTATTGATCAAAATTATTTATCGATTGATTTATTAGGTAAGGTTTTAGCCTATTGTTGTTGATCGCTCGACATATAGATGGTATAATGTACTGTAACACGATCGTAATGGACGAAATGATTGAATCACTTACTAAACAGCTGCTTAGTTGCATTAGCAAAATTGAAAACAAGTTGGAAGTAGTTTAGAGAGGTTATCATTACATACAAATTATTTTGTTTTCAAGCTTTATTTGTTAATTGAGCGGAGCGAGGGAAGCTCTTTGAGACCGGAACTTATGCAAACTATGTAATCAGATAACTCAATAACGGCTGAACATATTAAAGCCAAACTGTATATAAGGTTTCTTTTTATTGATGGTGTAAATTAGCTGTTGTCCCTGCTGCAGTCTGTTGGTAAACCTTGTACCTTTATAATGCTATTGAACATCATAGAACCAACTTGTTTAATTGAATCCTTTTAAATGTGAATACTCATAAGGACACATAGGAAATTCCAGGGCCACTGGGGCGGAGCCCAAAAGTCAGATCAGAATAAAAAATACATACTTTGTTTTCCTATATAATACCTAAAGAACCAGTGTACCAAATTTTAGCCTCCTAGGTAAATGGGAAGTAGGAGAATTAGTGATGAGTGAGTCAGTAAGGGCTTTGGTATAGATAACATAGAAAAAAATATTGTTTGTTTTACCTTACCACAGTTCAGGGGCGCCTCCAGAAATAATTTTTTGGGTAGGCATGACAAGTATCAAGATCAAGAAAGAGTTTGATTGGGAACGAGAGGTTTGAAGGGCTTCTCTGCAAAAAGAGGATAATTTTAAATTTTAAATGCAAATAACTAGTTTGAATGCTTTTCCTTTATTTAGGCCTACCGGTACATAAAATTAATTTTATTTATTTATTTATAATTTTGAAATATCTACCAAAATTTTGGGCCTGCCCTTTGGAGCTGCCGCTGCTGCAGCTGATTTTGGGTGTTATCTGGTTTCCATGGCAACACAACCTTGTTTGTTATTTGCAAAAATAAATTAGTAACTGAAATACGCGAAACAAGTAATTTATAAACATTGTAAAAGTAAAAAGAAACAAAAAGGGAGAAAACAAAAATAATAAAATAACTAGTAGCGCTGCGTAGTGGTGACACGAGCGGCACTCGTAAGTCAGCCGTTGGGCCTGCAGCGGCTGTACGAGTAATGCTCGTATGTCGGCGCCAATGGATTAATGTTTACCTAAAACTATTTTCTGGAGTTTGGCTGTTTACTTACTGGGCAGCCAAACCCAGTGAAAAAAATTGGTATAAAAAAAAATTATAATTATTTTTGGAACCTGACCATGTTTCACATCAAAAAGTAAAAAAAAAAATAATTAGTGACAATTAATTTACTGACAAACTGCAGTATCCAGTTTCTTTAGTTCTAAAAATGCATAGCTCAATAACAGTAAGTTGAAAAATTAAAATATTTATTGAAGTGAATTTTGCTTGTAGGGTTTTTTTGAGGAAAACTCACGTGACTTTAAGGCTCTGCGGCACGACAGAGCCCTGCACACAGTCAAGGTTCAGAGACATCTGGCTCATGTTCCTGACTACTTGGTGCCTCCCTCACTGAAGAGACTTATCCCTCGCACTGTCTCGGCACACACCAGCACCAGCGCCAGACACAGTGGCTCTTACAGCCGCAGGAAGTACAAGGTAACATACTCCCATCATCCTTATGTATTAGCTGAAAACAAATCCTGAGGACTCTTGATAGTTCTAAATGGAGGGTCAAGCATATAAACTTAAACTTTTAGGATGTTTGATTTATTGCAAGAAAAAGAAAACATTTGAATTGCAAAGAGTCAATTTTTTTTAGCTGAAAGATTATTCTTGTAACTTTGTTTGATGTCTTGGTCTAGAAGCTCTTGCATATTTCACGTTGTGTTTGGCAGAAAAGATCTAAGTTTCACATTGGATAAATGAGGAGCGTGGTTGTGGACCAAACAACTGTCTAGGAGTGTATCAAAATGCATGGTAGGCCCAAAAACTGTAACGTCGCCACTGTGACGACGTCTTAACTTGACAGGAAACGGGACTAGTGAAAATAGAAACTGCATAATTAGTTAATATCATGGGCTGCACGGACCGAGATAGAAGTGCAACTGTTGCTGGACTAGGACAGACTGACGGAGTGGTTAGATACACGGGTATAGCGTGGTCTTGGCAGCCAATTTAATTAAAATCACCTGATATGACGTCACAGACTTGGCGTGGTGTGATGTACACAGTACAAACACATTTACATTTCATACAAATGTGGTTTCCTACAAGAAACTCTGTTTAACAAAAATATATTGAATACAAAATCATCAACTATACTACTTTATGAACTAAATTTGAATTGTCAAGAGATTATTTATGGACTAAAATTTGATTATGAATTATCAAAAATTTTGATCAATCCAATGTTTGAATTACCAAGAGTAGACTGTATTTTAACATTTTTAACCAAGGAAAATTACAAAAAGCACACTGTGCTTTTAGCTGAGTGAAACCTTTAGTTCTTTAGTTGACACCAACAAGTTCTAGCCAATACAGTACATCAAAGGCACATCAAAACAGCCCTCAGATTTACTATTAGATCTACTTGCAGTATGAAAGTATTACGAACTATTGACAAGAATACAACCAATCAATACATAATTTTGATACATGTGATTGCTTACAATTGATGTTTACAAAACTGGATGTACAACAGTTGACTTTAACTCCCTAGGGACTAAAAATAGTTTTTTACTCCCTAGGGAATAAAAGAGATACTTTACACCCGCAATGCTGGTAAAACGGTTGTTTTCCTGCTTTATGACAAAAAAGTATTTAAAAACTCAGTAGACTTAAGAAACAGTCTATGTACCCGAGAGTGTTTTAGGATTGTTGCCATTTTAATATTTTTCATTGTTGGAACAATCAGGGAAAACCTGGATAAGTCAGGGAGTTATGAACAATGTCTGGAATTTCTCCTGAAAGACTACCTTTTTACAGATATGCTACATTTTGCTCTAAACATATTTTTAACAGGGTTTTTAACTAATGGCAAAAAGAGCGACATAAGCACTGATGCATATTTTTATATCGATAGTCAGTTATCAATATGGGGGAGGAATCAATATGTATATAGTTTGAAACAAGTTTTATATTTGGGAGTGATTAAATAAGTTAAATATTTACATTTTTTCTGATATTTCTTGATTTTGATTTGTCGATATCGACTTGCGGTATACCTGGAAAATGTTTATCAGTCTGGAAAACCTTGATAAGTCAGGGAATTTTATTTTCCAAATTTAGTACAAACCCTGTTTTTACTTTCTCCCCCTATACCATAATATATGGAGAAAGTATTGTTTTTGTCAACATTTTTTGATTCTGAGTTGTGAGTGGATATATCCGTTTTGGGTCCTCCTGGCCTCAAAAAAGTGGTTTTTGAAGTGATGTCTGTGTGCTTTACAAATGTGTCTGGGCCTCCTGAGCTCATCAGGATCACGCAAATATCCACTTTTTGCCGAAAACAATCGGATCTCATTTGGGTTGATTTCACATAGAGTGCATGTATAAACATCTGAAATCCGGCACCACGTCACGCTAGCGTCGCCAATGTGCACTGATCATACACACTTGGTCACAGTGAGATCCCCTAAATCTATTAAAGATTAAAGAGTAGTTCAGGTCTGATCCAAATTGGACTATGGAGTGAAGCGGCCACTCGTGCATTTGTGTCGCCGCAATGTTTTGCCACAAGTATGGTCTTTAATCTTGAACCAGATCTTTTTATTTGGTCGATGTAGCAAGGCCAAGGTGGAGGAAAGAGTGCTCATTGTATTTACACTTGACCCTTTAATATTCTACTAGGTGAATAATAAATATAGAATATTATAGCAACGTCGTTAGAAGTTGCGTCGTTGTATCGACGTTGGTCTTGAGCTTGATCTTTGGCTATATGCATTCTAAGTTCTTTTTGCTGTTTAGTAGGATTATTTTGCAGGACGGAGGTCATCATGCTGAAAACTTACGCGTATGGATTAATATCAACCAAATGTTGAGTCAAATTTGCATGAGTTCAGTGCTGCAAGAGCCATTAGCTTTGTTAATCATTCTTTCTTGAACAGCGGAAATGTCTAGTGAGAATTGAAACGTAAACATTGAACAGTGTGATGCCACCAACGTAAATTCGCCCTAGTCCTCCTCCAAATTCAGTAAAGACCCCTAATATTAATGCATTTGTTCATATAACTAGGGATTTTTTTAAACATCCCACACGATTTCATCTAATCAGTTCTCGTTGTTGTGTTAGGGTCTCATTAGGCAGGAGTATTCATGGCCCTCGAACCAGTTGCATTTTAGCCTCTTTGTCATTAATATTTATTATCACAATACCCTTTAATAAATATATGGTCGATCCTTAGAAATCTTATTATTTATATAAGCTTTATACAGGGTGAGTCACTACTGAATGCATTAATTTTAACAGCTTATTCTACTCATCAAAAGGAACCAAAAAATGTAAATGTTGATAAACCCTGGTCTGACCTTTACCGTTTAGCTGTTATGGCGTAGTTTGTGATTTTTTTTCAAATAACAGGACTTTTCACTGTTAAATTAACGTTATAATCCAAACCCATGCTTGAAAGATATTAAAACTGGTATCATTTGAAAGAGGGTTAAATTGACTGCAAATTTAACACAATACCAAAGTAACAACTCTTCATACAATGGTTTGCAAAGAGCTTTAAATGTAAAATGTATTTTTATTAAAACTTACGTATAAATTTTATAGCTAAAGAAAGTCAGTTAAATGTTTGATATTCTAATATTCAATTAAAGATTAATATTAAATTAATATTCAATTTTCATGTAAAGATAACCTATTAAAAATACAGTTGAGAGCCAAAAATCCAAACCGCTCCTGAGGGTTTTAAAATATTGAATTAGCACAGAGACAACAGATGTTTTACAATTTCACGGTCCAAACAGTCGGCGCCTGGCAGGGATTTCCACTCATTTGAGTGAACGCCCCGAGCCAGTCTGTGTTTTGTTCATTTCCAACGTATTAAGGTCTACAATTTTTTTTTTTCAAGAAACGAATTACAGTTATATAACAAAAATACCTAAGTACAAAAATTATTATTTTTATTTCATTCACTGTATCCTAGAACTGTATTTTTAATAGTGTAGGGCCTAGGCCTATTAATGTGTCTATTAGGCATTTCTAGGCTATGTTTGAAAATCCGAAAAAATCTGTAATCTGAACTACCTACGGTCCCAATTGCTTCGGATTTTTGACTCTACTGTACTTCCAAATTGTTTTCAATTTTGCCGATACAGCTGTTTATTTTTACTCTCTACAATAATGCTTTTTATTAATAAGGAAGAAAAAGAGCTACTTCAGAAGACTCGTAACTTACATATTAAAAATGAATTTTTTGCTGCACTATGACAAAATAGTATCTATTCTGTATTATTAATACGCTACATGAAACTTTGTGAACAATAAGGCTTTTTTGTTTTAAGATTTAATCCCTCATATTATATACCAAAATGTTCGTCTAGATGTCTAGATTTGCAAACTGACCTTAAATAAAATAAAAAAAAACATCCTTGGGCTCTGCCACAGTGGCTTTTAAAGTTCCCATGTTATCCTTATGAAGGACATATTTATTTTGTTTGTTTACATTATCAAATCAAATCAAATCATTCTTTATTTTGTAGTTTCATTAAGAATAATACAATGACGTCAATAAAAATACAATAATATAACTTAAAACTAGTAGGCTAGAAGAGTTTTTTTTTTTTTTAATTTATTTTTTTAAATTTATTTATTTTTTTTTTGCTTAACAATATTATGAAAAATTTATTGCAAGTTAATGATTCAGATCGGATTCAAAGAATTCCTTCAAGGAGTAGGCAGGTCTGTCTATCACCCACTTGTGAAGTTGTGTTTTCAGCGGTTTTCCCTTCAGTGACTTCAGTGATGGTGGTAGGCTATTGTGGACTTTGCGGCCAGTGTAGGATGGTTTTCTGGCGTACTGCGTGGTATGATGTACTGGCAGACAGAAGTCGTTTCCTCACCTGGTGTAGTAAGCGTGAAAATTTGCACTTTTTGGCAGATCAGACTCACTCACCAGAAGGACTACTGCTTTGATGTAAAGATTTACAACAGTTAGAATACCAAGCGATCTGAAAGCTTCCCTGCAGCTGCCTGAGGGTTGAAGGTTGGCAAGTATACGTATGGCTTTTTTCTGCAGCTTCAATACTCTGTTAAGATTGCTTTCAGTAGTCCCGCCTCAGACAACAAGACCATATTGTATATGCGACTCCATTAAAGCATGGTACGCTGTTTTTGCTGATAATAAATCACCAATCCATCTAATTCTTCTCACCACGTATACACCAGTGCTGAGTTTCTTACAAAGATCATCGATGTGATTGTTCCAAGTAAGGCCAGTATCTAGTGTTATTCCTAATAATTTGAAATTTTGTACAGTTTTCACATCTGTTAGGTCAGCTATTTCTCTGCTTTACGGCTGAATTTAATTCATTTTTTCAGTTTTTGTATGGTTGAGGGCCAGATCATTTTGTTTGCAGTAGATTTTTGCTCTGGTGAGTGTGGTGAGAGAGTCTGTCTTCAGTTGTTCTGCACTGTTGTTGTGTAAGAGGAT